CATTACCGTTTTCAAAATTTAGGTACCCGACTTGGTTCCTGAAATATCCTGAAAAGACAAGAAATCAACACTTTTTTAATTATCACTTATTACGTGAACTGCTTAACTTAGAAAAAAAGTTAAAACTGCCTTTAGAACAACTTTTTGCGTTGAATCCAATAAACTAGCACTCGTTATCATAGTCAACTTGATTTACGAGATAAAAAATAAACTTATGTTTTTTAATTGGTAATCATAGTGGGCCTTTTAAAGTCCTTATTTTTTTTGGAATTTAACGATATAATTGTTTGTATGTTTTTATCCTTTTGTTGCCGTAAAACTTCAAAAGAAGGTAAAAAAATGTGTAGTGGGCTATGGAAACAAAAACCATATTATCACACAAAGCACAAAACAGTAATGAATCGTTTAAATTAAATGTTCAAATTGACTTCCGTTTACGTCCAGGCATTTTTGGCATTTTCACATTCAACTCGTGAGTTGTGTGAAGGTGTACCATCATGTTGAAAATATGCCAATTTTCGATACGACGCAAACGGAAAACTATTCAACATGTCTTCAAATTCATTTGGTAAAAAGTGTAAATATTTTTCCATATTTAAATTGTGATTATAAATGAATGGACCAATAATTTTATCACTAAAAATGCCTCACCAGACATTCACAAAAAAAACACGTTGATCTCGCCTATTTTCAATTAGATGATGCTTTTCATTAGCCCAGTAAACATGATTGTGCCTGTTAATTATTTCTTTTTTGTTTTGTGTGATAATATAGTTCTTGTTTTCATAGCCGACTACACATTTTTTATCTTCTTTTGAATTTTTACGGCACAAAAGGAGAAAAATATACAAATAGTTATATCGTTAAATTCAGAAGAAAATAAGGATTTTAAAACGCCCACAGACAACTATGATTACCATTTAAAAAAACACAAGTTTATTTTTTATTTCGTAAATCACGCTGACTATTACAACGAGCAATGCTAGTTTATTGAATTCAACGCAAAAAGTTCTACCAAAGACAATTTTAACTTTTACTCTAATTTAAGCAGTTTACGAATTATGTACATGATAATTAAAAAAAGTGTTGATTTGCCTTTTCAGGATATTTCAGGAACCAAGTCGAGTACCTAAATTTTCTATCTATTCTCTATCTTTAAAAATATAGAAGATACCCATACAAACATTCAGATAATGACCACCCTGTACATATGTTGGTCTTTATTTGAGGGAACATTCTTGTTATTTCCTTTTTAAGACGCGAAATTTTCCATGACACCGCTAATTGTTGCGAAAAATGATCATAAGTTGATTAAATCGTTCATTTTAACATACCTAAGATAAGAGGTCGCGCGTATTTGTTGATTTAAAGCGTTAAATATTAAATGCTAACTTTGTTTCGAAGTGAGCCTTTTAGAACCATTTCAGTTGCATTATTGACAAAGGCAAAGTGTAAAAATTTATTAATTAAGACGAAAATGACAAGAACTTTAACATCTCTAAGTAGAATCCAATGTGGCAAGGCTTAAATAGAAAACACTTTTTTTGTTTAATTTATTTGCAATTGTTCTCGAAAGTTGATTAAATTCAACTAAACTTTAACAAATAGCAAGTTTTCTAAAAGATGCCTTTAAATGTTCAGGCATACAACATAGTAACATAAGTAAGAAAATGAGAACATAAAAATGATTACTGAAAAGTGAAAATAACTATAAATACTGATTAAATAATTACTCCAGTTCCAAATAATTTACAATAAATTCACATTATCTCGTCATCGAGGCCATTGTTTTAACGAACTTATTTTTGCGCAGTTAAAATAACGCAATTTAATTTAGAATCATCCTGTATTTAAGTATAATAATAATAAATATTTATTCTACAATAAAATACTATTGAATGGCATTATAAAACGGTTTTCTATAATTCTAATAATAAAACGTAGATATAAACACAAAAAGTCTTACGGGCTTTTGTTGTTACAATAATATGCAGACTAGTGTTTGGAACACTAGTGTTGCGCGGAACACAGTTTGGGAACCCCTGGTCTAGATGACCTAATTTTCCTGCAAAAGATTTAAATTCAGAGGCTTGCCCGATAAATCACAGCGTTGCCAATGGATTTTGAAGTAATGGGTTTTTTGCCTAAAAAAAAATTAGTTTTTAATTTGTTTCATTATTTTCGATTTTTTGTAAATGAGCTGTGCAATAGTGTTTATTGAAATTTTACTTTAAAATTGGAACTAGCCTTGGAAGAATTACTTGGTGTTACGTCCGAAGTTCGTTGATTATTATATGTGTCAGTTCCTTCAGTTTTCAGTTTAATAACCCATAGTGAATGCTGTGCGCCATTCGGTTCAAAGTAAAAATTTAAAAAAATTGCTTGTATTTTTTATTTCCGTGGCGACAATTGTTAATTTTTTCAAACAGCAAGTTTT